TTTTTACTTTACTCAAGTAAATTTAAAAAGTATCTGTAGTTTATCAGAGTGTTTTTCTTTGGAAAACTTTACTTCACTACATTCCAAAGCATAATGTCATACTTTTTACTGCACTTCATTTCATAAATAAAAGTTGTTGTTTGTTTTACCTTTAATATTTAAGAACATTAAAAATGTAGTACTTTCTTGTACTCAAGTAAATCTTCGAATTACTTTTACTTGAGTAAAAGTAAGAAAGTAATAGATTCGGCGAGACGGCTTACATATAGCGGCCCATGTATCTATGCAAAACCATAATTAAAGGAATTTGAACAAACCTGAAACAAGTGCCTGGAATTTACACCACAGAGCTTCACAGGAGGAAATTTGACCCCGCCAAATGACAGCACATCTTCTGTTTATGTTATCAACGTAAGAAGGATGTGAAGATGTTGTAAAGCCCTGCAAGGAGAAGCAGAAGTCATCAGTATGGTAGTATGAGTCTGTTTATGCCAGTCAGGAAAATTCCCCTGTGGTGTGGAGGAGAAAGACAGAACCAACAAAAGCAACAAGTGCATTATGCCCACTGTGGCGAAAGGTTCTTGTCATTGTCCCCGGCAAAAGAGAAGCAATGAAAGCAGGACATCAAAGGGTGAGCGGGAGAATGGGCTGTATGAGCCAAGAGCTTTAGATCTGCTCTGCACCTCATACATAATCACTCCGCCGGAAAATACAGCAGGCTTACAGGTAGAGGTCGAGAACACTGTAGTGTGGTTACTGGGGATGGGCAATGACTCTTAATGCAACTGTGATCTGCTGTGGTCATTTTGATTGGCTCAGCATGAAAAGAGCTTTCCTGGAGCATTTCAGTCCTTGATAGAGCAACTGAAGCAAACAATCAACTTTGAGTGCAAGGCACTGTCAGAAGATCTCCGGGATAAAGTTGTGGACACACAAGTCAGGAGATGTATACAAAAAAATTTCAAAGGCTTTATCAATGCCTAGAAGCACAGTGAAGTCTATTATTAAGAAGGTATTTGGTACAACACAGACCCTCACTGGATCAGGACGTTGCTCCAAACTGGATGAAAGAGCCAGGAGGAAGCTGGTCAGAGAGGTGACCAAGGGGCCTACAGTAACTCTAAAGCAGTTACAGGAATTTATGACAAAGAGTGGATGGGGCAAAATACCGTCAAATTCTTGAGGAAAATCTGCTGCCCTCTGCCAGAAAGTTGTCAATGGGAAGAAGGTTTTCCTTCCAACATGACAATGAGCCAAAGCACAGAGCAAAACTGAGCACACAGTGGTTAAAGGAGAAAAAGGTGAATGTCCTTGCATGGCCTAGTCAGAGCCCAGACTTAAACCCCATTGAAAATCTGT